TGATCAGAAAAGAAAATATTTTAAATAATTTGAAGCTTCAGGGGGCAGATGATAGTACAGTGGATATGGTGCTTGCCTTGCACTTATGGCTGGCCTGGGTTCAATCCCCAGCATCCCATACATGCCCTTAGCACCGCTAAGAGTGCTTCTTGAGTGCAGAGCCAGGTGTAAGCATTGCTGGGTGCGAATTTATCCCCCAGTAAATAATAATTTGAAGCTTCATATACAGGGGCCATAGGGATTTTCAAGTAAACTAAAGTATTGAATGAGAAACCTCCACATCGCTGAAAACACAATCTTTTTACTTATTTTTTTTTTCTTTTTCATTCAGCAGTGCTCGGGGATCACTCCTGGGGAGCTCAGGGGACCATATGAAGTGCCAATGATGAAACTCAGGTCGGTCATGTGCAAGGCAAGCGCCCTACCTGTTGTCCTATCTCTCCAGCCCCATCTATTGCATTTTTGATGTAGCTCATTAGACTACCTCAAACATCACTGTTTACAAAAGCACAGCAAAATGCCCCAAAGGGTATTTTTAGAAACATTCTTGGGACTCACTCACACAAGAGAAGGGGCGCTGGCTTTAGAACAGCTGGGATAACTAATGCTCTGATTCAAACCCTTACTCGGTTCTCCTGACCAACCAGAGCAAATCATTCACTATCTGAACCTGGTTATTTTCTAAAAAACTGGAGAAATGACAGTGTCTTGCTAATCTTACGGTGGCTGGGAAAACTATGAGAAAATGTATAAATGAAAACTGACACTCTGCAAAGTGCCGACAGCCAGAGTTAACATGAATACAGCCTCAGCTATGGAGAGCAGTCAAGGGAGTCCCAAACGTATTTACCAAATCCATTCTCTGCACTGAAACACCTGCTGTTTAAATCTTTTCTAGCAGACCGTTTCTTTAAGCACTGTTCTGCAGAAGATACTTCTGGGAGCCGAGAGATAGTACAACAGGTGTTGCCCTTGCCTGGCATGCAGCCAATCTGGGTTTTATCCCCTGCACCCCATATGGTTCCCTGGCCACCACCAGGAGTGATCCCTGAGCAGAGCTAGGAGTAAGCCCAGAGCACATGCTGATGTGGTACAAACACCTCCCCCACTCCCCAAAAAAAGGTATTTTGGCATGTTAACCATAAAAACCCTAAGGGTTATGAGAAAAAGTGACTGGTTAACATCCTGAGGACAGCTTTGACCTGGGAGAAAACACTCTTGAGAAATGAAAGTTAGCTTGTCACTGAGGGATGCATACAAAAGCACTTAAGTTCCCATCCAAGGTGAGTCTGTATGTTAATTACATTGTTAATAACAAGAAAAAAGTGTAAACACGGGACAAAGTTGAAAAGAACCTCAAAGTTATAAAATCATCCTAGTTTCAAATTTAGACAGATCTTGTACTATTTCCCTATTCAAGAATATTTAATCCTGTCACTGTCACTGTCCTCCCATTCTTCATGGATTTGCTCGAGCGGGCCCAGTAACGTCTCCTTTGGAGACTTTGTTGTTACTGTGTTTGGCATATCGAATACGTCACGGGGAGCTTGCCAGGCTCTGCCGTGCGGGCGAGATACTCTCGGTAGCTTGCCAGGCTCTCCAAGAGGGGCAGAGGAATCGAACTCGGGTCGGCCATGTTGGCGGCGTGCAAGGCAAATGCCCTACCCCTGTGCTATTGCTCCAACATTTAATCCTAACTTGTAAGAAGTCCACATGGATATTTGAAATTGAGTGCAAATGTTTTGTGTTTAATTACCCTTTATTGAAAGTACAGTCATTTTTGTCCTCCTTCATTTTGGCAGCCTAGTTCGACCTTGAGATTTTATCAGCCTCTCCTTCCTCATCCTTCTTAACGCTGCCTTAATGGTGGCTCTTTCAGGGTCAGAGGAATGAGACCCATTGTATTTACTGGTTTTGACATATCGAATATGCCATGGATAGCTTACCAGGGTCTCTGAGAGGAATAGAGGCTTTTAGGGCAGCCTCTAATCGCCCTCTATTACAATTATGTAACATTAAAATGAATTCTCTCATACTTCATCATCTTAGATATGAACATAGGAAAATGCTGCCTAGGAGTCCTCTTGCACCCAGTCAGTGCTTCTATGAACACAAGGAAGTGCTTCTATTGCCTCTTCAGTCTTTACTCAAATGTCCCTGACATTTTGTGTGTGTGTGTGTGTGTGTGTGTCACACCCGGCAATGCATGGGGTTACTCCTGGCTCTGCACTCAGGAATTACTCCTGGCGGTGCTCAGGGGACCATATGAGATGTTGGGATTCGAACCCAGGTTTGCTGCAAGGAAGGCAAATGCCCTACCCGCTGTGGTATCGCTCTGGCCCCTTGACTTTTTTTTTTTTGGGTTTTGGGGTCACACCTAGAAGTGCTTGCTTACTCTGGCTCTGTACTCAGGGACAACTCCTGGCAGGCTTGGGAGACCATACGGCGTGCCAGGGAATCAAACCTGAGGTGTCTGCGTGCAAGGCAAGTGCCCTACCAACTGTAGCATTACTCCCTTTGGCTTGAGGCAAATTCTTTTCTTGTTACCAGCAACAGTGGTGGTTACTGTTCCTAAGGAAATCAGTTCTTTGCCACCCCCAATGAGGTTGGACTGGGTGAGAACGGGTCAAAGTAATCAGTTGTATTAAGAAGTCAGTGTATTTGCTTAAGAGTCTTACAAGAAGTACACAGAGCACACATCTGGGTTATAAAAGCCCTTTTATAAAGCCATTTTTAAACAAAAAAAAAAAACCAAAAAAAACCAAAAAAAAGTTTACAAAAGAAAAAAAGATACAGGAAAAAAGTATAACTTGCTTCATATGTCCCAAAAAAGGAAAAATAAAGGGACAATGCCAACATGCTCAACAATAAAGGGTTCTTTTTTTCTTATTTTTAATACAAAATACAAGCAAAGGATACACATACTTCAAACAGAGCTCAGGAGCAGACACGCAGTCCCGAAAACCCTTAAAGAAAAGAAAGCAGGAGCTTGTTTCCTCTTTGTCTATGCAGATACATACAGAGACGGGGAAATGTGAAAATTAAGATTCACAGAAGACCATCACACAAGTTTACCTATGCATGTTGCATCTATAATTCATGACATGGTCAACAAAATCATGTTCATTTCGACCCCATTACATTTAAATAAAAAAAAAAACACCTTTTAAATAAAGTGGTTACATTCAAACTCTCCCTTCCTCAGTAACAAGCTGCAGATCTCAGCACTGTTAAGGTATTGCAAGAATGCTCAACTAGCTGAAGTCTGCCCATACATCAAGGAATATTGCAATATAATAAGGGATGCCTGGTTTCAGCCCAAGGACAAATTATGCACTGAAACAGGTTCCTTTTGTTACCCTTCCTGCTCAGAATGTAAAAGATTAAGGACTAAAATCAAGGAAGACTGGGAGTCTCAGAGCTGGCAAAATGAAGTCTAAAAGATGAATCAAGGCAAACAACTTCTGAGACCTTGGCTACCACTTAACCTGGCAAGTCTTAAGTTTTTCCTTAAAGCTTGCAGGAACTAGGTGTATAAGGTTTTGCTGCAACATGTTCATGGTAAACAAACTAAGTAGAGCTCTTATTTACAAATTTTGTAACAAATACTTCTGGAGGGGAAAAAGAAGAATTCACTAATTTCCAGAAGACAAGTTTAATTGCCAGACATATACAAACACACATTCACACACACATCCACACAATACTTCAGGGTTCTTTTTTTTTTTTTATACATGTTATACAGGGCATAAGCTGAGTACTATACCCCTAACACCCCATTGAAAAGGAACAACAAAAAAGCCCCAAGTGTACCCTCCCCCCGTAATCTAGAAAACCCTCCCTTCACCCGATGTACAAAGTGTACACACATGGCGGCGCCCACTGGCCACACAGAGCACGCTCAGACAGATGTCCCCAGTTCAGTCATCCCACTGGTTTACGGGACTTCCCTACTAGTGGTTAATACAGTCAGCACCACTGTCCACTGAGAATTAGGCTTTGTAAAAAAGTGTTACTTAAGATACGGGATTCAAAAAGAATCATTCTATGTTAAGTTTATCCTAAAACCAAGAGAAAATGGGTTGTAGATGGAAACTTGTTAACCGTTTGATGTCAAACAATAAACTAAGTCCCCTTTCAAAATATTCTGCAATTTCATGCAGAGACCAGAACAGCTGTCTAACCTCTAGGGCAATCAGCCTGTTATGTTGCCCAGAAATATATTAGGTTTGTTCTGTCTAAATCTGAAGGCCATCAAGAGCCCCGGCTCCCTCCTTTCCAAACTTCAATGGGGTGTAAGGGAAAGAACTGTTCGAACACCCTTTCCATGCAACCGTGATGAGAGCCACAGGAACGCTAAAGCTTTCCCTGTTGACCCCGGTACGGAATTATTTACTTGCCTTTCCAATACTTTCAAAGCACCTCCTAAATTGGTTTATTCACAGAAAAGCACTATTCCCTTCTCCCATTAGTACTCTCAAATTTACTTGTTCCTTGAATGGACATGCTGGAGGTTCAGATCTGATACGGCAGCGTCCCCTGAGCACACCAAGAGCGACACCTAAGCACCACACTGGGTGTATCCCTAAGCACTGTCGGGCATGCCTCGTGCCCTCCCGCCCCCCCTCCCCCAAAAAAAACCACTCAAGTTCCATTTAATTGCCCATATCCACTAGTATCAAAAACTTGTACTGGATTTGAGCCTCAAATTTCACTCCTGATCTGTTTAATTATGAGAAAATGCTGTCTGAACTAGTACCATGAATAGTATTGAATTGAGGATTGAGTCCAGAGCAGACCAGTTAAGTGGTGGGGGTTAAAATAGGCATCCAAGATCCTTTGTGGGAAATTACCCACTTATATTTCAGGTTAAAACATCTGCCACTTGTTACCTCCATAAAGGAGGGCACTATCACTGATCCTCTCTCATGGACTCACTAGGAAGAGATGTTTTGGAAAGCAAGACAGTCTATCATGCCTGAAGTTAAAATGTGTTCTCTGGGTCCACACCATTGATCTCAATCTGAGATGAGGAGGGCTTAAAGCAGCAGCACGTTACAGACAGATTTAATCAATGTGATCTCCCCATTTCTAGATGTTAGGGTGATGAAATCTAGGAAAAAGGTATCTTCCGAACTTGAATGTAGTGTCAGCATAGCTGCTGCAGTTCAGGTCACAGAGAATTTAGATAACAGAAACAAGCACCTTCAAGGGTAATGTCCCTCCTCCTGAGCACGCGAACTAACACAGTGAATATAACAGCCATTGGTGCGTGGGCACAGCTGAGGCAAAGAGGGAGCTTAGTCAAGTCAGAGACGGTGCCAGTGCCAATCCATGCAGCTTATGGCTTGTAACCCATCCTGATCCAAGAGCAAGGCTATTGAGCACCTGTGTCCAGTTGTGACCACACAGCTGTCCTCCTGTTAGCATGCTCAACTTGAGGGGAAGACTGAAGTGTTTCAAATCATCAGTTAAAGGTGGAGAAAACAAAGGTTCTTCAGAGCTTCCCTTGGGGACATAGATTTTTTTTTTTGTCCAGTCTACTACGAGTATGTAATACATTTTTCAACCCATTAGTAAAATTTTTAAAAAAAGATCCCAAATGAAAAGCCCACCAAATGCACACAAATAACCTAGAAGGCATGATCTAAAGTATGTGCATAAATCAGAGATTTGTACAAATCATTAGACTGTGTGACATACATACAGTAATATCAAGGCGTAAAATTTTAAAAGCCCCTTTCCCTCAACCTTCATGAAGCAGAGTCTAAGAAAAGCCCAAATGTTACTAGGAATGTAAGACTCAAAAAGTTATAAATTCCTAAAAAGTAGAAGTCCACGGTAAAAATACTGATAGGCCTTTTACTCTAAGAGCACAAACCATGTGAAAATTGGCTACCTGAACAAGCCCACTAAAGCAAATAGAATACTCTTCAATACTCTCATTGCAAAGGTCATTAGAAATTCAGTGATCACGAAAGATCCAATTGCCATTTGTTCAAGTTCTGCACTTTTGGCTAAGTACTAAGTCTCCCAATTCACTCTTGTGCACACACAGGAAGACTGTGTGAAATGACAGTCACTGGGCAGTTTTTTTTTTCTTTCAATTACCAAACAAGGTTATTTCTTAAAGTGTCTTAGAAATTAGTAAAAATATTTCTTAAATAACATTTAAACGACTGCAATAAAGCCATATTGTCTGAAAAAATCTACTGCTGAGGAAGCAAATTTAAAGAGAAGAGGAAGTTAAATTTCAGTAACAGTAAGGCTCCTATTAAAAGTTGCTCCTATTAATTTCTGGTATCAGGATATAGAGGAGAATAAACCCTTCAGATACATCTCCTGACTACTTTCAGATGGCATGTAAAATTCTTTCATTAATTGTTCACAAGCCTTCTGGCTGCTTTAGTCCTACTGCTAAAACCCCTGACTTAAAACAACACGAGCAGTTTCAGGAACATCAGGGAAAAGAAAAACATACACTGAGTAAAGGGAACAGTATATGCTCACTGCGGGCAGATAGAAGAACAGAGCCAGGAGGAATCACGTCCTACAGCACAAGAGGGGTGCTGCGGCGGGGTGCTGCAGTAGTGTCCGATGGGGTAGCAGGGAGCCAAGAAATGCAAACGGAAAGAGAGGTAATAAAAAGGAGAAGACTCTATTCTCAAATAAAAATAGAGCCTGGTTCATGGGATCTAAATGCACTCTACAAGCATAAAAGAATTTCAATTCTGTTTTCATAAAGGAAAAATCCCAAGTCTTTGTGATTGAGTTTCACATTAACTAGTACTTTATTTTCTTAAAACTAAACATTGTCAGTTTGAGAAGAAATTCACTGTGATGTATCAATCTTGCCATTTAAATTCTAAAATCTGGGGGGTGGAGGGAGGTTCTTGATAAAATTTTATCCAAGAAACAGAATAGATACAATACATAGATATTTTAAAACATGAACCATTCATCAGAAAACCAAATGAAAAATCAAGAGTAATTTGTTTTGGCGGGTCTTAAAAAAAAAAGTTCCTTCAGGACTGTAGCAGGATAAAAGGATCACTGGCTCTGAGTCTCTTTGAAATAGCAAGGGATGAAACTTTTTTAAAAACTCATGTGCTAAAACAAGATGAGGAAACTCCATTCTCTGCTTTGCCTCCTATGGAAGTTATGAACACTCTTGAGATAACAATCCAGAATTCATCTTTATCTCCTCCCTGCCCCATCAGTGAAGTTAAAGTCATAACTTTGACATCCATTTTTGTGTATACTGATATATAAACCTGTTATTAGAGAACTGCTTTTTTGTTTGTTTCAGTCCAGGGCAAGGAAGAAGCAATCATTTGGAACTAAAACTCTTCTATATATTTTGATTACTGTTCCAACTTACTACCATTTAGTGAAAAGCAAAATTTCCGTAGTGTTCACCTCAATCTCTTGCAGTACAACTGTGGTACCCCTTCCATTAAAGATACAAAGATGAAGCAATCGATCCAGTGATTCATTTGACATGGCTTTCATTGGGAAAGGGAGGGGAGGGGGCGTGGCAAAGAGAAGACTAGTAGATAAAAAGGAAAATTAAACATACAATGGTTTTCTTAAAAAAGAGAGAAAATGTTACTTTCAACAAAAGGAAAAAAAGCACTGAAAGCCCGTGAGTCAAGCCACCGCCAAAGCCATGTTCTAGCTTAAGTAGGTTTTCTCCCTCCCCCCTTTTTTCTTTTTTTTTTCTTTTTTTTTTTTAATAAAATCTCTCCCCAAACCATCAACATTTTAATCCTCCCCAGACTGGGCTTCATCTTCAGACCCTTCATCCCCAGATTTCTCAGGTGGTGGGCTTGCAGATGCTTTCTTTTCGGGGGGGCTCTCGGGTTCCTCATCTTCTTCTTTGGGAGAAGGAGTCTTTTCCTTTGATGCCTTGGAAGCTGTGGGGCGACCCACCTTCCCTTTGCCTTTCACTGGACTTGGCGTCACTGAAAGAAGAAAAATATCAATTTGGAAAAAGAAGAAAAAAAATGCATTTTTTGATTTTGGGCTACACCCAGGTGTGTTCTGGACTTACTCTTTCTCTGGCCTCAAAGAAAATGTCTTTAATAAAATACAAAAGAAAGCAATAGGGAGGCCTGAGAGGTAGTACAGGGGTACAGGAAGTAAGGAAACTGCCTTGTATACAGCCAATTCTGGGCTGGAGCGATAGCACAGAGGGTAGGGCGTTTGCCTTGCATGCAGCCAACATGGTTGACCTGAGTTTGATTCCTCCGCCCCTCTCGGAGAGCACGGCAAGCTACCGAGAGTATCTTGCCTGCACAGCAAAGCCTGGCAAGCTACCCACGACGTATTCAATATGCCAAACACAGTAACAACAAAGTCTCATGATGAAGACGTTACTGGGCCCCCTTGAGAAAATCAATGAACGGGAAGACAGTGACAATGACAGTGACAGTGACAGCCAATCCTAGATTATTGCCTGGGCCACTGAGCTTCACCAGGGGTCACAGCTGAGATGACCAGGAATAGTCCTGAGCACTTTTAGGCATGGTGATACACAATGCTTACAAAAGGAAGAAAAAAAAAAGAATAAAAATAAAATTGTTACAAACTACTAAAAACCAAAGTGTGTAATAACATGCATATTATCCCTGAGTAATAACAACAGCAAATATCCTGAGACACACCTACTTCAATTTCTAAAAAACTGGTTATAAAAACGATCACAGAGTGGTCTCTGGTCACTTTTCACCAATATTATGCTCACAGTAATGCTGCTTAGTGCTCATTAAAAAAAAAAAACAGGACTGGAGACACAACACAGTGGTTCTATCCCAGCATCACATGAGCTCCCCGAGTACCAAGCTGGGAGCAGCCCCTGAGCTCTGCCAGGTATAACCCAAAAACCAAAGATACTACTGAAAATGCACTCCCTCCTAAGTTGTATGTGAAACTACAGTTTATGAGTTAAACAAGAAAGAAGGGGAGAGAGCCACAATTGGAGGATGGAATATAAGCTCTGCACCCTGGAGGCCCAGGCTTGATCACTCCCACACATAGGGAGTGACTTCCGACTCCACGCAGGACTAGAGCAGCCCTGGAACACAACTGGATGTTGGCCCCCAAACCAAAAATAAATAAACAAGAGTAAGATTTACTTGAGTAGACTTTTTTTTTTTTTCACACCCTGTGGTGCCAGCAACAAATCCAGGGTTTCTCACACATGAACTGCTACTCCTTAAGCCATCTCCCTGGCCCCTGAGTAGATTTTTGACAGAATTTCTGGTAGTTCTGCTCCAAAGTATAATAAGTGAAGTTTACAAATCACTAGTGTTTGGGTTTTTGGCCACACTTGGCATTGCTCAGGGCTTCCTCCTGGCTCTGTGCTCAGTGACCCTCTAGGCAGTGTTCAAGGGACCGTATATGGTGCTGGATATTGAACCCAGGCCAACAACATGCAGGGCAAGCACACCTACCTATTGCACTCTCTGGTCCCAAATTAGCAGCAATATCCACCAGAGTTTAAAAAGTAATATCTATCTATCTATCTATCTAAACATCTGGCACAAACACAAATCAAAGCTCAAAGAAAATAAATCTATGCATCAGAATGTGGTTTTGTTCTGTTAGCCAGAGAATAATTGGTGCAAGGGGTCAGAATACAGAACTGAAACACTGCTGCAAACAGCACTGCTGGAGATGCTGAAGAGGTGTTTCTACCACTATGCGTGATACAAACCAGTCATTTCCAAATCCTGCTTAGGCAAAGCTACAGGTGGGAGACAGGGCTGAGTCACCAGACTAGGGAGGACTGGAACCCCTAATCAGAAACATATCTTAGGCCAGAGTACTTGCCTAAGTCTTTTACTCTTAGCAAATATGGGACTACTGTCAAGTCTTAATGAAGAATTTCTGTCAAAAAAGATTGCTGGTCTTGACATGTGCAAAGCAGTAACCAAATTTCACTTCTGTAGAGCTCACCTGTTGCCTTTAGTCTGGGTTTGGGCATTTTCTTTTCTTTTCTCTCAGGTTTGGATTTTTTAACCATCTTTTTGTTTTTCTTTTTTGAACTGCCATAGTCACTATCATCATCGTCTTCCATGAGGAAATCTTCATCGCTGCCGGAATCTTCTGAGGGAAAGAAGAATTTCAACGTCCAACTTAATGTATATATCCTTCCAAGTGAACAAAGGGAAAGAGCACTAAGAATGACTGGTACAGGGCAACTGGGAAGCAAATACTCTTGGGCTTTATTTGCAGCTATTTGCCTAACTTGGTTGGCATTGCCACTGACACCTCCTATAAAATGGGCTTACTGTCATGCATGTTAAGGTTATACCACTTGTTCGAAAGTGGGAAGAAACAGATATTGCATTAAGACATAATTTGCATAAAAATCAAAGCCATGGAGCCAGAGTACACCGTTAAGGGGCTTGCTTTGCATGCACAGACCCTGGGTTCAATCCCTAGCACTAAGCACCACTAGGAGTAAGTCCTAAGCACTGCTGAGTCTGGCCCAAAAATACAAAAAAATAAAAAATAAACGAAGCTATCAAACCACTAGGTAGTTCCACCATTTCCATATAGTATTGATAAGAATGGATAAAAGCAACTGACTTGGGGATTCAATTATGAATAAATAAAAATGAAACTATATATAAAGCAAGCATATATAATTGATCTAACTTGTGAAAAGGTAAATTCTGTTACTAACATTTTTTGGAATGGAGGTAGAGGCCCATATACTTCTCTACCAAGCTAATAAATCTTAATCAAACACATACCATGAACTATTCTAACAATTGTTTAGTCAGTACTGCAATAATTGAAGATCATAATCATAAAAATATTTATAGATATTTATCTGTGATGCTGGGGCTTGAATCTAGGTCTCATGCATGCAATCTGCTTTTGTTTTTCTTTTTGGTTCACATCCGGCAATGCTCAGGGGTTACTCCTAGCTCTGCACTCAGGAATTACTCCTGGAGGTGCTTGGGGGACCATATGGGAAGCTGGGAATCGAACTGCATGCAAATGCCCTACTCACTGTGCAATATTGCCCCAGCCCCTGCAATCTGCTTTTGATCTTTGAGTCACATCCCTGGTGAGTAACTGAATCATTTGCTTATCTACTTTGGCTTTTATTTTTGGGTCACATAAGGAAACAAAAAGAACTTCTGCTCAGGGATCACTCCTGGCAGGCTCAGGGGATCATATGGGGTACTGGGGATTGAACCCCGGTGGACCATGTGCAAAGCAAGTGCCCCACGTGCTGCACTATTGCTATAGTCCTTATTTATTTTTAGTTTTGATGCCACACCTAGCTGTGCTCAGGGGACCATATGTGGTGCCAGGATTAAAACCTGGGTTGAACCTGAAAGCAAGGCCCGGCTGTCCTATCTCTCTGGACCTATTTAAACCTCTTAATATCTATCTATATCTCATCTCTCTACTTCATTATCTAATCTACTAGCCTATATTTGCTCAAGTTTACTTATTTATTTATTTACTTGGTGTTTAGGTCACACTGGGCCCGCTCAAGAAATAGATCACACCAGTAATGCTCAGGGGCTATCCCTGCTGGGTGCATAGGGGTTCCTCCCATCAGAGCTGGGGGCACCATGACATGCTGGAAATCAAATCTAGGTCTCCTGCATGGAGCATATGCTCCCTCCCTCCGGTCCTATCTTCTCTTTTTTCCTGATCTTTAGGGACCACATCCAGCTGCACTGAGGTAGGGAAAGGCCATGATGACCCAGTCTGGCTGTGGAGTCCTCAGGTTCACCTGGGCTCCTCCACCAAGGGATGCTGGGAGTGTGGGGGAAATGGGGAGGTATCAAGGAATGTATTTACTGGGACCTATGTCGGGGTCTTCTACATGGTAAGTATGTTCTCAATCCTGGCCCTAATTTTTATCTTTAAAGTAGATTTTTAGGGACCAGAGTGACAGTATGGGGGGTAGTGCGCTTGCCTTGCCATGTGGCTGACCCAAGTTTGATCCCCAATACCACATCTGTACCCCCCCAGCACTGCCAAAAGTGATCCCTTGAACACTGCCAGATGTGGCCCCCAACACAAAATAAAGTAGCTATTTAAATAGTGAAGTTTTCATCTCTTCTAATCATTAAAGAATCTGATCGGAACATTTAGCATCCACGAGAAGCCTGAAGCAAGCAGGAGAGAATAGTCACAGAGTGATCTGCTGACTTCACGTACTCTCCTGGAATGGCGCCTCATCCTCCTCTTCTTGTTCTTCTTCACTGCCCACGTCTTCCATGAGCATCTCTCTCTGTTTTGACGCTGCTTTAGAGGCTGCCTGTCGTTGCTGGCGCACATTTTTATGATCTTCTTTTTCATCTTCACTGTCCTCTGTAAAATAAGTTGTGACGCGATGATCAAAGAGTACTACATTTATTTGATAGGTGACCAGAAAATCCAATACAGTAACCAATATGAGCTATAAACTGCAGCTTTACTTCATTGAAAATGGGTAAAATCTATCCTTACAAACTGCCCTGATGGGTGTTGGAAATAATATGACTGAAACCCAGTCATGAACAACTTTGGAATGGTGTACCTCACTGTGATTTAATTAAAAGAAAAAATAAATAAAATCGATAATTATAAAAAACCCCTCATGATATAGGTGTTGGAACACTGTATGACTGAAACCCAATCATGAGCAACTCTGTACTTGTGGATCTCATAGTGACTCCACCCCCCACCCCCCCCCAAATATACACAAAATGAGGGCTGGAGCGATAGCACAGCAGGTAGGGCGTTTGCCTTGCACGCAGCCAACATGGCCGACCTGAGTTTGATTCCTCCGCCCCTCTCCGAGAGCCTGGCAAACTACCGAGAGTATCTCGCCTGCACGGCAAAGCCTGGCAAGCTACCTGTGACGTACTGATATACCAAACACAGTAAGAACAAAAATCTCCAATGGAGACGTTACTGGGCCCACCTGAGAAAATCGATGAACAACGGGAGGACAGTGACAATGACACAAAATGAGGGGCTGAAGAAATTATACAGTGGGTTTGAAGGCGCTTGCCTAGCATGTGGCTGACCCTGGCTTGATCCCTGGCACCATATATACCTGAACATCACCAGGTGCGATCCCTGAGCACAGAGCTAGGAGTGAGCTTTGAGTGTGTCCTAAACAACCAACCCAACCCCAAATTCCCCAAAAGGTATAAACTAGTCATGGGAATATAAGGTATAGCGTGATGACTACAGTTGATAATAATACTGTATTCAATATTTGAATTAGAGACCTCTAAAGCTTTCATCACTGGACCAGGGAGTTGACTCAAAGAGCACTTTGCACATGGGACCCCTACATTCAATCCTGAGCACACAAAAGGTCTTCTGAGCAACTCTAGCAGTGACCCATGAGCACCACGCTGCAACTGTCCCCGAGCACCTCAGGGTGCAGTCCAATGAGGAAATAACACAAGGAGCTCTCATCACAAGAAAGAAATTGCCCTAATGTGTGATGATAAAAATGTCCTATAATACAAAAGAGAATCTAAAGTTCAATAATAAACTAATTGCGATTGTGCATCTGGCACTGTAGGATGCTGGGCTCAATGCCCAACACACACACACACACACACACACACACACACACACACACACACACGTATGCACTCACACATTCAAAAAGTGAAAGGGTGACCTGAGAGGGTAAAACCAGAGAGATAAGTGATGTTAAAACTCAAGTGGTTAGGGGCTGGAGTGACAGCACAGTGGGTAGGGTGTTTGCTTAGCAAACCCAACCTGGGTTCGATTCCTAGCATCCCATATGGTTCCCTGAGTACCACCAGGAGTAATTCCTGAGTGCAGAGCCAGGGGTAACCCCTATGCATTGCCAGGTGTCATCCAAAGAGCAAATAAATAAATAAATAAATACAATTAAAGTGGGCCAAATGAAAGAAAATAAACTTTTTTTTTTTGAGCGGGAGAGGGAGAGTCACACCTGGTGGTACTCAGGACTTAATCTTGGCTCTGTGCTCAGGGGACCGTATGTGGCACCAGGACCGAACCTGGGCCAGATATTTTAAAGGCAAGCACTTTATACATTATACTATCTCTCTGTCCCTCAACTCTTAGAAGAGTAAACTTTTAAAAACACTAACAGTACATAACCAGGGTTTATTCTATTTGACCACAAAGTTTAATTTTTTTAATGAAAATTCTTACAAAACGGGTTGGGGACATGACTCAAGTGGTAGAACACAGACCTTATCCTGGGTTTAATTCTTCGCACTGCGACCTGCAGAGTACCACTGGTATGACTCCCCAACAACAAAAACACTTACTCGCGAGAATACAGGGGTGACTGCCTTGCATGTAGTAAGCCTGGCTGATCTGGCACCATATCCCTGAGTCGTGCAGTTCTGGAGGTCCCCAAACACCATTAGGTGAAGCCCTGGAGGCCTCTGAGATCTGCAGGGTGGCTCTGCCACCAAATGACCCGAGCAGCACATGCACACTTGACTCCTTGGTCTGAATCACTGGTCTTTTGGCCAAGAATTGCCAAGAAGGGCCCTGGGGCTTCCAAGAGCTGCTTGGGAGGCCTCAAGAAGGAAAACAACAATAACAAAAAAATTCTTACAATTAGACTACTTGTGGCTACTGTTTCTAAAGACCACCTTCCGGGGGCTAGAGAGAAAGCTCAACGGTCTAGCACGTGCTTTGCATGCAAGAGGCCCAGGTTCAATCTCTGGTACCACATGGTTCCCTGAGCACTACCAGGAGCCACTCCTGAGCACAGAGCAGAGAGAATTCCCTGAATACCACTAGTTGGGCGCCCCACCCCCCCACCAACCCAGAAAACCCAAAAGACTACTTTCCAGCTAATAGGTGTGGGCCTGTCCTTTGCCTTTCATCCCTGAGCTGCTCATGCTCCTTTTACACCTCTCTAGCAATCAGTATATGTTTCACATGTCTTGTTGATGAAAATGTTCTTAAATCTTGACTACAGATGATAATAATCTGTAAATAGCTTCATTTATAAATAGTCTTATTTTATTTGTTTTTATGAGGTGGGGGCAATGCTTGGTGAGCCACGCAGTATCAAGGACATGGGCTATGGCTTGGTGCATAAACACTTTTAAAACACGAAGCTGTGGGGGCCAGAGAGTGAGTACAGCAGTTAAGGTGCTGGCCTTGCACATGGATGATTCCCAGTACCACATATGGTTTACTGAGCACTCTGCTGAACAAAGAGCCTGGAGTAAGCCCTAAGCCCTGAGCTTTGCTAGATGGTTCCCAAGTTACAAGAACAACAGCAATAACAAAATGCCGTAACAACTCACTTAGACTCACTGAATTAGAAATTCTGTGGTGATATACAGCATATTAAAAAAAATGGTGTTACAGTAACTATAATAGCCACCAGAATTCAGAATAATTATAAGCTGTTTGAAGATAGAAACACAATTGTAATAACGCCAGTATTTACAAGAGTATCTGCCATAACTTAAAGAACACTTAAATATCCAATCAGGGATGGCTCGAAAGAGTGATGGCAAGTGTGTATGGGAAGTTCAAGGGCCTGAGTTCAATCCCCAGCACTGCATGGTCCCGGGAAGAGCACTGAACCTACAGCTATTGCCAGCAGTGGTCCTGTTTAAGAAAAAAAAAAAATTCCATGTAGGACCAGAGATGTGGCTCAGTACAACATACAGCTCGGCTCACATGTCCTGATGAGCCGCTCAGTATACTTCACTAAAAAATAAAAATTAATTTAAAAATACAATACAATAAGTAGAATTACTCCTATCAGGTTAAAAGTAGCTTACTACCTGCTGAGTGAGAATCATCTTTCTTGGTCTTCACATCTTTTTCTTCAGAATCCTCGCTGTAAAGGGGAAAAGGGAAAAAGGAAAATGCTTAAACATCTTGCGTCAAATGAAGTGGGCACAATCTCCAGAATTTGATTGAGAAACAACACTGAACAATACCTTATACACAAAGTTTTAAACAGATGCTCATTATTTCCCTACTTTACTAGGATACTGGTGAATAAGCATAATTTTAACTTGCTTTGAAAAACATTCCTACCAAAGACCAAAAGCAAGGATAAGAATTTCTCACCTATAAATAGCACAGTGGTAGGGTGTTGGCCTTGCGTGTGGCTGGCCAGGCCGAACCGGGTTCAATTCCTCCCCCCTCTCGGAGAGCCCGGCAAACTACTGAGAGTATCTCACCCGCACGGCAAAGCCTAGCAAGCTACCCATGACGTATTCAATATGCCAAACACAGTAACAACAAGTCTCACAATGGAGATATTACTGGGCCTGCTCGAGCAAATCGATGAACAACGAGAAGACAGTGCTACTGTGCTACAGGATAAGGCCTGGTTTACAAAAACGATCAATAGGAAAAAATTTTTGTTGTCAGATGCAGGTATAAAACTACTACTAAAAATAAATTCTAAAATATATCACACCCGAATCCATAAGGAATACAGAGGAAAACATAGGCAGATCTCCCCATGATAATAAAACCAAGGCATCTCACCAAGCAAGTGGGAACAAAGATAAACAAACGCGACTACATTAAATTAAGAAGTTTCAGGGGGTTTGGTGCCGCCAGCAGGTCAATCTGTACCTGTGAGGCGAGTGCATCAGCAGCCTCATGGCGCCTTCAGACTTCCAGATACCCCAAAATTGCTGCTGTGCCTTTGGCCAGACCCCAAAAACTTGGGGCAAAGTTTACCAAGAAAGTAAACGGCCAAAAGTTAGGTATGTGGGAAACACACCCACAAACCACCTCTGGCTCAGCTATATAATTGGAGGCATGGCCTCTCTGGTTCCTGATTGAACTGCAAAATGGCCATGATCCCAGAGACTTAGAAACGAATCTCGGAACCCAGCGGCTTTAGGTAGAAATGCGTCTGGTCTCTGCAGTAGGCTACCGGTGCTGGGCCAACCCAGGTGGGAATAGGTTTCGTGCCTTGGCCTACTCCCCCTGGTGGCCCAGTGGCCGCCATCCGTTTGAGGCCACTGGATAGTCAGATTTGGGCCCCCCGTGACGAGACACACAGGGCCTCACGGGATGAGGGTGGAGCCGGGCTTGTCCTCCCCACCCCAACGAGACCTCAAGTCATTGCCCACGAATGGCCTCTCTGGCTCCTGATCAAGCTGCTTAACGGCCAGGATCCCAGAGACTCAGAAACAAATCTCAAAATCCAGTGGCTTTTGGCAGAAATGCATCCGGACCCCACAGTACGTTACTGTTGCCGGGCCACCCCAGGGAGGAAAGGGTGTTGTCCCTCTGCCTGCTCCCTCTTGGTGGCTTGGTGGCCGTCATCCTCCAGAGGCCATTGGACAGTCAGGCTTGGGCCTGCAGTGACGAAACTTGTTGGGCCTCATGGGATGGGGGTGGGGAGGGAGCCGGGCCTGTCCTCCCCATCCCAACGAGACCCCCAAGTTATCGCCCACGAATGACCTCTCTAGCTCCTCATCAAGCTGCTCAACGGCCTTGATCCCAGAGACTCAGAAACAAATCTCGAAACCCAGCGGCTTTTCACAGTAGGTTACTGTTGCCGGGCCACCCCAGGGGGGAAAGGGTGCTGTCCCTCCGCCTGTTTCCTTCTGGCGGCTCAGTGGCCGTCATCCTCCAGAGGCCACTGGACAGTCAGGCTTGGGCCCACAGTGATGAATCTTGTTGGGCCTCATGGGATGGGATGGAGCCGGGCCTGTCCTCCCCACCCCAACGAGACCATAAATCATCGCCCACGAACGGCCTCTCTGGCTCCTCATCAAGCTGCTCAATGGCCATGACCCCAGAGACTCAGGAGCAGATCTCGAAACCCAGTGGCTTTTGGCAGAAATTCCTCCAGATTTAAGTGTTAAAATTTCGGAATTTCAAAACTACATGGCCGTACTGCAGCCACGCAACATCATATGTTATTCATAACCAGCAATAGAACACAAATTGTCTATTGTTGCCTTTTCAGCAGATCTGAGTGTTGGGGTAAAATCTCAAATAATAATGGTGGGTCTGGTGTAGAAAGAATGAATGTGATCAAAGGAGAGAGAGAGTAATGTGGAAATCATCTGCCCCACAGGTAGGGGGAGGGTGTGGGGTGGGGGGAATACTGGGGTTTTTGGTGGTGGAGAATGGGCATTGGTGAAGGTACGGGTGTTTCATTGTATGACCGAGACTTAGACCCAAAAGCTTTGTAACTGCTCTCACGGTGATTCAATAAATAAAATTATTAAAAATGAAAAAAAATAAAGAAGTTTCTCCACCTCAAAGGAAACAATGAGAGACTGGAGCAATAGTAAAAGGGGTAGGGCGTTCGCCTTGTACATGGCAGACCCGGGTTCGATACCCAGTATCCCATATGGTCCCCCAATCACCTCCAGGAGTAATTCCTGAGTGCAAAGCCAGGAGTAACCCCCCTGTGCATCGCCAGGTGTGACCCTAAAAGAAAAAAATAAAGAAAAAAGAAAAAAAAGGAAACAATGAGCTGGATAACAGACAACCCACTGAATGGGTGAAATTATTTAACCCAATGCTTATTTGATTAGTGGTTAATATAAAAGATATAAGGCACTGGTAGAACTTTACAAGAAAAAGAAAATCCAATCCCATAAAAAAAAATGGAGGAGCTGGAGCGATAGTACAGCGGGTAGGGTGTTTGCCTTGCACACAGCCGACCCGGGTTCGATTTCCAGCATCCCATATGGTCCCTTGAACACCACAGGAGTAATTCGAGTGCAGTGCCAGGAGTAACCCTCATGCATTGCCAGGTATGACCCCCCCTCCCCCCCAAAAAAGAGAAGAGATGAAAAGAAACTTCCTCAAAGAAGAAACATAAACAGCCAAAAGGCACATGAAAAAATGTGCATCACTAATTATCAGGGAGATGCAAATCAAAACAACAATGAGATATCATCTCACAGGAACTGACAAACATAAAAAAGAACAAGAACAACCAGTGTTGGCACAGGTGTGGGGAGAAAGAGAGACTCCCATTATTGCTGGTGGGAATGCTGACTAATAACAGCCTAGACTTGTAGAAAACATTATGGACATTTCTGAAAATCTAGAAATTGAACCCCAGTTCTTGGAATATATCCCAAAGGCCCAAATACTAAATGGAGAAAAGACAGTTGCACCCCTATGTTCCTTGCAGTACTACCCACAACAGCCAAGATGTATAAACAAGGCTGTGGAATATTACGTGGCCATAAGGAAAGACAAAGCTATGAAACCTGGAGAGTATCATACTGAATGAAGTTAGTCAGAGAGAGAGAGCATGACGATGGAACGACCTCTCTCACATGCAGGATATAGAGAAACCTAACGGTGGAGTAACAAATACCCAATGACAATGGAAACAAAGATCGCGAGGACTGGTATTTGGTAGGTAACATGCCACGTGAGGGGGAGAGAGGACAGGACAGGAAGGAGGCAATGACTATGGTGGAGGGAAGATTCCAACTGGGGTAGGACTTGGTGTCGAATTGTTAGTGTTAGGTAGGAAACCCTATCAGCAACGGTACTGCCAACCACAGAGCAAAACCAGCAAGTGCCTCTTGTATAAGCAGGGTTGGAAGCAAATGGGGGATGGGGGGATACACACATCATGGAGGAGGAGGAGAGAAGTGAGTGGACACTGGTGAATCAATACTGAAACACTGAGTGTCTAAAACTCAATCATGAATAACTTTGTAACTTCATGGTGACTAAATTAAAAAAAGAAAAAACAAAAAACCACAACTGAATAATACAAAACAAAAGTAAAATATATCAATGATCATACAGTAAAATAGGCAAATAAATAGACAGCAACAAATAAAGCTGCAAAAAAATCTCTAGAGTACAGTGTCATAACCAAAGGAAATCAGAGTTCAGCTATATATAGCACTTTATCAACAGGCGTAAACATACAAAGCTGTACTCCAAAGTGAACATACAAAGTGTTCATCGATTTGCTCGAGGGGGCCCAGTAACATCTCCATCGTGAGACTTGTCGTTACTGTGTTTGGCATATCAAATACCTCATGGGTAGCTTGCCAGGTTCTGCCGTGCGGGCGAGATACTCTCGGTAGCTTGCCGGGCTCTCCGAGAAGGGCGAAGGAATCAAACCTGGCTCAGCAGGGATGGCTGCGCACAAGGCAAACGCCCTATCGTTGTGCTATCACAAAAATCTAAAATGTGTTGTCTCCATTAAAAAAATTATGTATGTGTGGCAGGGGGTTCAGGGGAAGAGGTTTGCGGCTTGCGACTGAACCCAGGGCACCATGCACATGTAAGACACGTAGTACCAAACTATTACTGGCTCCATCTCCAGTTCCGTACATTTTCTATCATGGAGAAAATATTTTTTCACCTCAAAAACACCGCAGAGTAAAATAGTTACAGAGTTTCAAAGTTCTATGGCAAGTTTTATAAAACAATTCCTGCTCAATGTATTAACTTAAAGTTCCAGTGTCACAGGCACGGTAAAGTGCTCTCTACTGAGTTACAGGCCCAGTTTACAGATCAAGCTTTTAAGCCATAGATACTTGTTTTATACACTTCAAATCTCAATCTGGGAATCTGGATTCTTGTCTCCCATTTGAATCATTAATGACTTTGCATTCTTTAGTGCTGAAATTTTATGATTCCATGAGAAATTCTAACCAAAAACGGGAAAAATTCATACATAAAAATTGCCTGGGGGGGGGGGGGACCAGAGTGATAGTACAGCCAAGTAGGGCATTTGCCTTGCTTGAGGGCGACGCTGGTTCAATCCTTGGCACCCCTATGAGCCTCAAGTCCCCCACAAGTGATTCCTAAGTGCAGAACCAGGAGTGATCCCTTAGACCACTGGGTGTGGCCCCAACTCCTCCCCCCAAAAAAAACTGCTTTCAGGGGACTGAAACGATATTATAGTGGGTAGGGCATTTGTCTTGCAAGCTGCCAACCTGGGTTCAATGCCTACACCTCATTTGGTCCTCTGAGATTGCCACCAGGAGTGATTCTTGAGTACAAAGCTAGAAATCACCCCTGAGCACTGTCAGGTGTAGCCCCAAACCAAAACAGTACAAAGTCGCTTTCAGGACAGGGAGATGGCTCAAAGGGCTGGTCTGTTTGTTTTATGTTTTGCATATGGGAACTGTAACTCTCCCAGCACCAGTCAGTATTTTAACAGGAGGATTCCCTGAGCATCTCCAAGTAAAACCTCCCCAAATTTTTGCTTTCATAGCTTTCCTTTCTCAAAGAGCAGGTCTAGGAAATCTCCTTTGGTGTTTCCATTCAAACAACAAACTATATAAAATAAGTCTTCAAACGACAGAATTATATCATTCACTCTAGTTATTTTATTACTGTACTGGGTTTATGGGGACACAATCCTTGAGTCCCATTACAGCAAAACCAAGTGAAAGCTGAATTTTTAAGATGACAACATAAAAATACAAAATACTGATTTGGAGAAATGAACATACTAGATACTTAATTCAAAATGGCAACGAAAGCTGTATTTATTTATATCACTCCTCACACTTAAAATCAAATGTCTGCTGAAAAAATAGGTATTAACTACACTGATGAGATGTTAAGATCAAGAAGTAGCTGATTCCTATTAGAAATATAATAAAGGAACATAAAGAAAGGTAATTGTAAGTCAAGTTGCTATCAAAGAAATAAGCAGAATTAGAGGGGCTGAACAGCTCAAATGGTTGGAGCAAATGTATTGTAGGCAGGAGGCCCAGGTTCTATCCCTGGTCCCCTAAGCACCACAGGGAGTAGTTCAAAAAACAAAAAGGGCAGGGAGAAGGGGAAGAAATTGATTAAAAAGATATACTATGAAACTATAGAGGATGTCTCCTCATAGTATAATTTTCTTATTTTTCTTCAAAACCAAGTTTTTGAAATTCTCCAGATAAATATTAGTTTAACAGTATAAGCAAACAGAAAGTATTAGGAAAATGTGTTTAATATTGTTATTTTCTACAATGTAGGATCCCGTGAATTCAGAATAGAAAGGTGACCACCTGATGTTTTCCTGAAGTGCTCCAAAGGTAAATATAAGCACTCTTGAAAATTATCATTTCATTTCTTTGAACTGTTCATAATAGTGTTTAGAAGTGGTTTAAAACCACCCAATGGTCAATGGTCAAAAACCCAAAGGGCACAGTTTCAAAGCCTGTGGATTTGTTTGCTAGGTAGCCTTGGAGAAATCACAAAATACTTCTAACTTTAGTAAATGTTGTGAGAATTAAATGACCATGTATATGAAATTTGTGAGACTAGCATGTAATAACCATAAATAGTAGCTATTACCATTATCATCAAGGAGGTCTTAAAGGAGAGGGAGAGAGAGAGGGAGGAGGGAAAGGAAATAGAGGAGAGGGAGAGGGAGAAAGGTGAGAGAGGGAAAGAGAGGGGAGAGAGAAAGAGAAAACGAGAGTGAGTATACCTGCAAGAATCAGAGAAAGCTACAATATCCAGGTTTCATAAACCAATTTTAGCTAAAATTGAATTCATTTACAAAAACTAAGGGAAAGGGAAACTACCCCAAAAGATGAAAGATTTTTTAAACTAAAAAGAACTGATTATAAGACAGAATCTGTAGTGTTTACAACTGAAGATTTTATAAACTTGAATTGTTTTATTATTCTGCAGAGATTTGTAACAGTATACTTATTCTTTGCTGCCATTATAACCAAAATATCAATACTGCTCTTAAAGGACAATCTTTTGCATAGGTCTGAGGTAGCAACAAAGGTGCTGTCAGAGATCACCTCAGACCTCTAGGATGACTTCAAAATATCTTTTATTATTTTTGTTTTTGGGCCACATCCAGTGATGCTCAGGGGTTACTCTTGGCTCTGAACTCAGGAATTGCTCCTGGCAGTGCTTCGGAGAGGAATATGGGATGCCAGAGATCAGAGAGGGTCTGCCGAACGCGGGTTGACCACATGCAAGGCAAACACCCTATGCTGTACTATCGCTCCGACCCCTTAAGCAAGTCTTGTGACCAATCCAGGAGCATTACTGTAAAATAATATCAAATGGACAATAATCACTTCCCGAAGCAAATGGAAACTATCAATTTAGAGATCAGAAACTACCCTCACTTCAGAGTCGTGACAGTATAAATAGGATCAAATCAACAATGCTCTTACCTGTCTTCCTGTGAATTCTTTCCAGACCGTCTCTTATTTTTAGCTTCTCGGGGAGATGATCGAATTTTCTTAGCTGGAGGGCCTGAATCTCTTCCATAATCTTCATCTAAAGAGATGAATTAAAAAAATATTCAACAAACTATATTATTATTTTTACATGTAGAAATTACTATTGTATAGAAATCACCACTGAAATAAATACTTTTCATGTTCTTTTTTATTTCCAAGCTTTGTTTTATTAAAGCACCGTGATTTTATAAAGTTACTCATGGCTGGGTTTTTGACATAATGTTTCATCATGGATCTGGCCACCAGCATCAACTTCCCTCCACCAGTGTCCCCAGGTTCCCCCTCCTACCCCCTCCTCAGCCCACCATCTCAAGAGGCATCTTTTAAAGTTTAGTTACTAAAGTTTGGGTCTCATGACTTCAGTGTTGTTGACTCTATGGTTTGGATATTTAGCTGTCAGTCCTAACCATGATCTTGACCCTTGCGCCTGTGGCTTCTCATCTGTCTCTTTTCCAATCTACTCTTTCATGCTCTTTATTTATTAATTTTATTTTTTTCTTTTTGGGTCACACCTGGCAATGCACAGGGGTTACTCCTAGCTCTGTGCTCAGGAATTACCCCTGGCGGTGCTCAGGGGACCATATGGGATGCTGGGAATCGAACCTGGGTTGGCCGCGTGCAAGGCAAACGCCTTACCTGCTGTGCTATTGCTCCAGCCCCTCTTTCATGCTCTTTAAAGAGCGAGTGAGGAACATTTCCCAAACCATCTTTCATTTTTGAAAAAAAAAAATCATTTTTGGGGAACAAAGAGACAGTAGAGCAGGCAAGGCCCTCGCCTTACATGAGGCAAACCACTTGGTTTGATCCCTGGCACCACATACGCTCCCAGGAGTGATCTCTGGGCAAAGAGGCCCCAAAACATGATTTTGATTTGGACAAAAGGGGTTCGTTCGGGTTTTTGCATGTGATGATTAGTTTTCCCCTCATCATTTGTTGAAGAAGCTTTCCTTAATCCACATCATATCCTTTTATGGATATGATGTCTGTTTTTGTTTATGGCTCAGACCAGGTAGTGCTTGAGAGTTACTCCCAGTTCTGTGTTTGGGTATTGCTCCTCGTGATGCTCTGGGGACCCCGTGGATCCAACTTAGGGCTCCTACATGCAAAGAATGAGCTGAGTATGGCTAAGACTAAGAATTAAGATGATTACTCAACTATGATAAATAAGATCACAAATCAAAGTTGCTTCATAGAAATATTCTCATCTTCATTATTTTCTTATGCAAAAATCTTAAATACAGTCAGATAGTTCACATTGCTGATTCAGTATTTGATACTGCATATGGTTCTCTAAGTATCACCAGAAGTGAGGGAGTGACCTTGAGCACAGAGTCAGTAGTAAAGCCTGAGCATTGTTTATTATCAATAACTTACTAAGGAAAACTTAAAATTCACTTTAGTCCATAATTTAATTATTCAAAAATCTATACATTAAAAAAAAAAAGTAACCTAGAGCACAGAACGGGAACAGTCCCTGAGTACAGGCTACTATAACCCAAACAAAACTTATGACTGGGCCGAGCGTCAAAAAGATAGTAAGTACAGTAGGTAGAGTGCTTGCCTTGCATGTGGCTGACCGAGTTTAATCCCCAGCACGCCACATGGTCCCCGAGCACCTGAGCATCCACAAGTGTGGCCCCCAAACAAAACCAAACAAACCACCCCCCCAACATGAGACTGAGAATGTATGTAGCTCACAGCAGTTTCGCCTTGTATGTGTGGGTCCCTGGGTTCGATCCCTGGCACCATAAATTTAAATTTCAGGGCTGAGTTCAAAGGGCAAAAGTGCGTGCATACTGTATTTACATCCAGGAGCCCTAGGTTTAATTCCTGGCATAAACACTGCTCTGTACTCAAAAAAAAAAAAATCAAAAGCAAGATAGGGGACTAGGGATGTAGCTATGGGTTTGACACCTTGCAGAGAAAATTACATATGCCAGCAATTTCCCCCCACCCACCCAACTTACAGTTTATTGAAATCACAAAACGTACCAGCATCATCCGATTCCTGAAACTGTGAATAATCAACGACCTTCCTATTTCTGTAAAAAGAAGAGATGCTAGTTAAGATCAGAGAAATGTTGGGCTTTTCTAAAATATGAGAACGTACATTTATTTTGATAAACAGAATTAACTCTCCAAAAATCATTTTTCGATAGGTTCCTCCAACTCAACCAATATAGCTCACATTTTTTTTTTACAGGAAAGTGATGCTTCAGCCAAAAGTATTTGAAAGCATAGTTCTCATGTTACAGTGATAGTTCAAGTGCTATTCTTTCCCACAAAATAACTATTTTCCCAGCATATATATGTAAAACAAGTCAAACTATGACTATTCAGAGATTTGTATAATATGTACAAATAAGAATTGCAAATGTTAGTCTCACTCCTATACCTGACAAATAGATTCTTACTTATTAAGGCAAAGTGACCTAAAACACAAGGTCAATTCCTTAATTCAGCACCGTAGCACTGTCTTCCCGTTATCGATTTGCTTGAGCGGGCCCAGGAACATCTCCATGAGACTTGTTATTGTGTTTGGCATATTGAATACGTCACGGGTAGCTTGCTAGGCTTTGCCATGCAGATGAGATAACTCTTGGTAGCTTGCTGGGCTCTCCAAGAGGGGCAGAGGAATCGAACTTGTGTTGGCCGTGTGGGCCGCTTGCAAGGTAAATGCCCTACCCGGTGTGCTATTGTTCCAACCCTCTCTGGCTCCCCTCCACTCCACACACATTAATTTTTATTTGGCTTTGTTTTATGGCCAGCAGACTCAGGACTGATGCCCTGGCAGTTCTCAGGGAACCATATATGGTGCTAGTCAGGTATTCAAACCAGAGTCAGTGGGATGCAAGGCAAGAGTCTTAATTCCTGTACTAGCTCTTGACACCCCCTCAAAATATTTATTATTGAGGTATCAAGGTTATAATAGTGCTAATATTAATGTTTTTGGTATAAAAATTCACCTTACCTTCACCATCACCAAAATGCCAAAAACCCTTAACCAATGAGAAAAGTGATTTTTAAATAATTATATACACAAACAACGGTGCCAAGTTAAAGTTGTACTTAGAAGGAAAAAAAACTTAAACTGATCTATTCAAAAGATTCTTCTATTAAAGGGTCTGTAATTGGGGGCTAGAGTGATAGCACAGCGGACAGGGCATTTGCCTTGCATGCGACCGACCAGGATTCGATTGCCAGCATCCCATATGGTTCTCCAAGCACAGCCAGGAGGAATACTTGAGTGCAGAGCCAGGAGTAACCCTGAGCATTGCCAGGTGTGACCCAAAAAGCTAAAAAATAAATAGATAAAGGGTCTGTAATTGGCCAGCACTACAAATAAAGGGCATGCAAAAATAATAGGAAAGCCTTATAAATTTATATTTCTACTTAATTTCATTAAATTATTTCAAGTACTTCCTTTCAGATAATGCACTTATTTATTTTTATCTAATTTTTGAGTGAAGCTGTATTTTTATATTTATATACAATGAATCACCCTGAGATAGTTAGACTTACAAACTTTCATGATTATGTTTCAGTCATACAATAATCTAGTACCCATCCTTCCATCAATGCCCATTCTCCACCACCAATGGTCCCAGTATCCAACCCCACCCCCCCACCCTCCCCGCCCCGCCTCTGTGGCAGGCACATTCCCTTTTGCGCTTTCTCTCTCTCTCTCTCTCTCTCTCTCTCTCTCTCTCTCTCTCTCTCTCTCTCTCTCTCTCCTTTTGGGTGTTACAGTTTGCAATATAGGTAGTAAGTGGCCATCATGATCATGTTTGGTCTTACAGTCTAGTTTCAGCACGCATCGCCCATCCTGAGCGAGCCCTCCAAGCATAATTCACTTAGTGGTCCCTTCTCTATCCAGCTGCCTTTACCCCCAGCATATGAGGCCAGCTTCCAAGCCATGAGGTATCCTCCTGGCCCTTATCTCTACTATCCTTGGGTGTTAGTCTCCCATTCTCTTACTTTATATTCCACAAATGAGTGCAGTCAGTAATGCACTTTTAAAATCCAAAAATATTTTAAGTCCTCTTTTCCCATTTCATAACTATATGTGAATTTGAAAAAAAAGTATTATTTCTCATTTTACAGTGTGGGAATTTATTTTTAGGTTGTGCTAGGAACTGAACCCAGTGCTATCCACATGTGAGTTAAGTCCTTAACCACTGAACTACATCCCTATCTACCCGAAACATCAGGGACAGAAAGCAAGCACAGGTCCTTTTATAAAATGTCAAATTTTATGGGACAGGATGGATTCTGAATAAAAAAAAAGTCTTTTGCAGGTACTGAGAACAATTCCAAGATTTGCTTTACCACTGAACCATACCCTTGGCCCACCAACAACATCTTTGGGGCTAGATGTTGGAAAAGAATAACTACCCTTGCCTTTGAGACAAAAATGAAGGCTCTTAATGAATACTGTCTTGATTTTCTTTGGTCCACCAATATGGTTTTTCTCACTTTGCTTCAATGAATCAAGACAAAAAACAAGAAAAAACATATATATAGTGTTGTTACATCCAACTGTTTTATTATATAAAATTGACTTATAGAGCCAAGGTACAACTATTACCTAAAATTTACTAGGAAATTTAAAACATAGCATTATTAATTTCATTTATGACATTCTTAAAGTAGTCAAATTCATCTGACAAAAAGTAGAATGATGTTATCTTCTAGTGGTTGAGAAGTTAGTATGTATAGTTAAAGTTTTTTAAAATTTAAAAAAATTTTTTTTTCTTTTTTGGTCACACCCGGCGATGCACAGGGGTTACTCCTGGCTCTGCACTCAGGAGTTACTCCTAGCGGTGGTCAGGGGACCATACGGGATGCAGGGAATCGAACCCGGGTCGGCCGCGTGCAAGGCAAACGCCCTACCCGCTGTGCTATCTCTCCAGCCCCTGTATAGTTTAAGTTTTGCAAAGAGAAACAGTTCCGAAGATTGATGGTGAACAATGTCGATGCATTTACCACTACCGAACTTTACACTAAAAAAACGGCTGATGGTCAACATAATTTAAAAACAAAATAGTTTTCCTTCCAAAACTACTTCAAGAGGGTTAGTAATCACTTGCCTGCTATGTGCTAGCAAAATTGTTATTTTCAATAAAAGTTTATTTATTTATATACTCTTAATGTAACGGTAACATTCCTGTTCATTTTATGATGAAGGGAAATAAAACAAGGAGCCAAGGAAAGTTACGAAAATATTGGAACAGGCTTATTTTGCAGCCCGAGCAACAGTGTAGCAGTTAGGGTGTTTGCCTTGCACACAGCTATTTATATGGGGCTCCCAGGGGTGACCCGGGGCACAGAAGCCAGGAGTAAGCCCTGGGTATCAAGGGGTGTGGCCTAAAAAGAAAAAATACCCTCCCCCCAAAAATACCCAACAAAATAAGGCTTGTATTATTTTTTGGTTTACAGGCCATACCTGGTGGTGCTCTGAGGCTGCTCCTAGCACAATGCTCAGAAACCATGCAGTGCTAAGGATTGAACCAAGTCTTCCTATGTGGAAAGCAAGTATACAGTCCTTTGAGCTATCCCCCTAAGAAAATAAGTTTTTGTTGTTGTTGTTGTTGTTTTTATTTTTAATTATTATTGGATCATCGTGAATTTTCTTTTGAAAATAAGGTTTTATGGGGCCAGAGGGACAGTACAGCAAACAGGGTACTTTATTTGCAGATGACCAACCTAAGAGTTTGATTGACTGGAACCCTATATAGTCCCCCAAGCACTACCAGGAGTGATTCATGAGCACAGAACCCAGAGTAAGCCCCAAGAACTGCCGGGTGTGGCCCTGAAACCAACCAAATAAACAATAAATAAGAGTAAGTTTTAAATCTCTTTCCCAGGCTAGGGAAGACAGCTCAGCAGTCTGGCTTTCCAAATGCTGGAAACTGAGCACACACCAGAGCACGACATGCTCCGTGCGGCCCCAAGCACCAACAGACTCAATCAGCTCTGCCATCCTCAGGCTCTATCTCTAAACCACCAACCCTCCAAATCCCCAAATATCATTACCTAAAAATAACATTTCTTAGATCCTAGTAATTAATTGTATAAGACCGGGAATGACATGTGTAATAATCACATCTTACCCATGTTGGTGTGACGACAATGAAAATGTTGGTACAATGTCTGGGTTTCAGATGAGAATATATAAGGGATGGTAACTAGAACCATAACTAAAGAGCAATGGTAGCTCAAAGGGCTAGAATGCACATTTATAAGGCCCCAAGTTAAATCTTCCACTTTGCATGTACCCCCTCCCCGCAACAGGAGAACAATGGATTAAGTTGGGATTTTACCTTGCAAAAGGGAAACATTAGTTGGGTTTTATAAAGCAAACAAAGTAAATGTATTTGCTTAGCTCTGACGACCACATTAAAGTATGGGTTCAATACAGAACTGTCTAACAGTTTGTTAATGATGGTTACTCGCTTCTGTCAACTGCCAGAAACATTCATGAAAGTAATTATTACATTGTGAAAAGTACAGAATCTTTGTTAGCAAGAATCTTGGGTTTCAGTTTTAGAGCTTTTAAGCAAATAACTTAATATCTTTATTTCCTTCTATTTTGGGGGGGCCACACCTGACTGTGCTCAGGGCTTACTAAACCTGGCTCTGCGGTCAGGGCTTACTCCTGGTGGGGCTCTGGGCAGTGTAAAGGGATGCCTGGGATCAAACCTGGGTCAGTTACATGCAAGACAAGTGCCCTCCCTACTCTATGTACTGTATTACTCTGGCTCCAGTTTTTTTAGGTTTAGTTCCTCATTCTAAGTTACTTAACAAATGCACAGATGTCTTGTTACTTAACAAGTTATTATATCATATTAAATCTTAATGTAAATAAAATTTTAATCTAAGTCATAATAAAAAGGACGGTTTCATCAACTACACAAAGCTTTTTCCTTCAATTAAGTATCTGGTGTTTTTGTACAGGCATTGTGCTGGATAAGGGGTACAGAGTAAGTAGAGTAATAGCGGACATAGCGGTGTAAGCAAATGCTTAGTATATGGTAGATAT